TCTACCAGAAATGGTTGAAGACCCAGAGCTGCTCCTTGACAAAACCGATCTTGGCGGAGCCGTGTTCGGTTTTGGCAAACTGTTTGGGACTTTGTTATGAAAAACCTTTTTATTATTTTGAAAAGCTGCCCTTTTTCTACTACGGTCATTCTTCCAATCATCATTTCGAGAACAAGCTTTAGAGGACTTTCTAGTTAAAGACCTTCCTCTAAATTCGTTCTCTCCTCTTTGTGACGTATAATGTACAAACATTCTATTTTGACAATTCCTAGCTATATGACCACCAATACCACAATTAAAACAAATCTGTTTGTTATTATTAAAACTTGTACTGCCTTTTTCAGATTTATTTTCCACACAGACACCCTTACTTTTCTCACATGAACATAAACAAGAAGCAGGTTGTGAGATAAGTGAGGGAGTATCAGATGGAGTGACTTGTGGAAGTGGTGAGTTTTTATAAGTATCATTACAAACATCAGAATTATCAAACATCTCATCAAACACTTCAAAACAATTCAAACCAGTATCAGCAGGTGCAGAAAAATCACAAAAAGCATTGTCACTTTTAACATCAGAAAAAATAAAGTCTTTATTTAAAACTAAAACTTTAGGTTCAGACTCAGTTTTATTATCAGAAACAGATCCTTCAACTTCGTGTTTTGACTGATTTAAGGATTGATCTGCAGGGGAAGTAGAAACGTTAGTATTTTCAACATTAATAAATCCTCCTGAAACCAAACCTGTTGGCTTGCCATAAACCATGAAAGATTCATTGGCAATCTCCTCATTAGAGAGAGGGTGATACTGATAATTGTGATTGAAAGGAGGAGGCACTTTATCGTAACCCAAACCCTTTTTCTGGTTTTGTTTAAACTGCAGGCAATGGTCAATCATGTTGGCAACTACTTCGCTTGATACATCATATTTTTTAAAATCAAAGTTTGCAGTATCAAATTTATTTTTTAATGTATCAAGCTCAGCAATTAACTCAGCATTCTGTCTCTTGATATAGTCATAGTTTTCACATTTATTACTGTAGTCTTCCTGAAGTCTCCTAAAGTCCTTTATTTTTTGTCTCTAATTGGGCTTTTAAGGGTTTTTGTCCTTTTCTAAGTTGATAGCCCTCATATCTAAGGTTCTCTACTTCTCTACGTAATGATTCTATTTCCTCACGAAGAATTTTAACGTAATCAATACAAGCTTAAGAACAAGAAGGCAAACTTACCTCATTTTTCTTCAGTTCAGAAGTAGAAGATACCATCAACGCAAACTGAAGCTCCATCATCTTTTCTTCAGCTGTAACACTCTCCACGGAAGCTTCATCCTTAACTTGGGCCAGGTGAGCATTTTCAGGCTTTGAAATGTTCAGGGCCTGAATCTGGTCCTCCCAGTCAAATGACTGAGCAACCATAGCCTGCTCACTGTTGACCTGAGCACCTCCCCGATTGTTTCCCACTACAACCATTGTCCGGTCATTGTTTAATCTTCTATCCGGCTTCGGGCACTCACGGGCAAAATGACCCGGCTCGTGACAGTTGAAACAACGCAGCTTCCCTTTGCTAAACCCTACCTTTTTATCAGCATTCATGCCCCAGTTGTTCTTCCCAGTCTTCTTGGCAAACTGCTTATCCCTGAATACTGCCATGGTTATCTGCCATGTGATGTCCATCTCTTCTACATCTTCTGGATGAATCTGATCCAGATCAACAAATGACAACTGAGGTGGAAGTTCTCCAGCAAGAAGGGCATTATAGCAGTTCACAAGTCCTACAACAAAGGCAAGATTTTCATCACACTCCTTTGTGTTTGAGGAAGAGGCCACAACTGGTACACTAGAGGAGGGAGCAACTTAAGGAGTTACATGCAGCTGGCTTTGCGAGTGAGGCGTGGATGACGCAGCAACAATTGTTTGGATCTGAGGCTGCTGAACAGCAAATGCTTGACCTGAGGAAGGAATGACTGATGAAAGAGCATTGTTAGAGGAAATCCCAAGGTTTGCAGTCGAATACGAATTCACATGATTTATCTCCCGCTGTTTATCATCAATATCACATGCCTTGATGATGGCCATTGTTTCAGCAAGAGTGAGACGATTCAAATCCTTGGTCTTTTTGATGACAGCTACATTCATATCCCATGACTTTGGAAGAGCATTTAGTAGCTTTTTGTTTATCTCTGACTTGGTCAAAAAGATCCCAGAAATGTTCATCTCCGTGGTGAATCGCTGCAACTGTGCCTCTAGGGTTTCTCCAGGAATGTAGTTGAACATATTAAACCTTTGACGCAGCATATCCTGGCGGCTTTCCTTCATGTCTTCATTCCCTTCATATACCTCAATCAAAGCTTCCCACAAAGCTTTTGCTGAAGTATACTCTCTGAAACCTTGAGCTATATCAGGAGATAGAGCCATGGTTAGAGTGGCCAAAGCCCTTTCCTGTTCTTCCACTTTCTCAAAATCTTCATCTGTGTAGTTTTCAATAGCTTTGTCAACTACTTGCCCTGCAACAGTGGTGGTAATTCTGACAGGATTCTTGATGATGCTTCTCCAAATCTTGAAGTCCTTCATTTTAATATATTTTTCAATCCGGTATTTCCATTCAGGAAAACCATCTGCAGACAGTAGTCTTGGAATGCGTGTAGTGGTACCCATGACAGAATCCAGCTCATGATGATGTGTTTGACTTTGAGAATCCATTTATTCTGATTTTAAAACTTAAAAATTAAAAAAATCGTCAAAATTTGAGTTTACGGTCAGCAGCAGTTTACGGCCGTAAACTGTGTTTACGATTGGGGTGTTTACGGTCGGGCAGTTTACAGTCAATTAAGATGCACTGATTACGGTTCAAGAACACAATTTACGGCCTTTGAATATTCTTGAGTTTACGGCCGTAAACAGGGTTTACGGTTGTAATCTTTGGGCAGTAAACTCCAAAAATCCCAGTAAACGCAAGTTTGGATGCAAATTTGACCCCCTTTGCAATGAAAACACCAAACCCTAATCTCGAACAATGAAGAATATGAGTTTAAACGGCTGTAAACTCGATTGAATGATGCTTTGACACCGGTTTTTCTCTGATACCAATTGTAAGGTCCTGAAACGGATCTTTACCAATGATCAAGCAATCACACAATCAAATAGAATAAGAATCGGAGTATAAATAGAATTGAAACAAGCTTGCACACGCTTATATTACTTAAACGTCTGGTACAACTTGTTCTCTATAGCCGTGAACACTTGTGGCATCAACAACCATTATTGACATACACAATCCCTATATATAGTGGACTTGGGCCGGACACTGGGTTTACGGCCGTAAACAGGCTTACGGCCGTAAACTCACTACTATGGCCGTAAACACAAACAACCTACCAAATCTGCATAAAGACTCAAAAGAACTTATTACAATGTAAGCCTAGACCAAACCACTAACTAGACCCTTCAATTATTATTATTATTATTATTTTGGTAAATCGCAAGACTTGTGTACTTAACGTAAGTAACTGACAATCAAAAAAGAAAATAAAAAGAGAATTGAGAAGGGAACTAGTGTTGATTGGTTGATGGGACAGTGGATAGTAGGTACCGGACTGCAGCATGCGAAATCCTACAACTACATATCAACTTCAAATTGTTTAAATATAATTTTAGAAGGTATCTACAAAATAGAATAATATAACTTTTTTAATCCTTTTAAAAACAATTAGATATTTATATGTGTAAGTAATAAGATATTTATTCTGGATTTAATGAATGTGAAACTATAATAGAAATCTATCATATTTTTGGAATGCAAATTACTTACAATATTGATGAAAAAAACAGTATCAATTTTTAGGAGAATAAACATTATCATTTTTTTTTAAATTATTAAGAAAATAGGTGTGAGGCCATGTATTACATGAGTTTATTTAAAAAAAATTAAATATGAAATTTTAACAATTTAAGAAGTTTGAATTTATAAGAAAAATGAGAAAAATTTTAAATTATTAAAATTAATGAGACTTTAATACATTATATACATTACATATATAAACCCTTTCTAATAAATACCTTACATATATATTACCTTAAATATTAAATGTGAAATTTTAAATTTAATAAAATGAAAAATATAATAAAATGACAAGTGGAAAATAAAAAATTCAAAAATTCTAGAAAAATGTCATGTGTCCAAGTGAAGGAGAAGAAGACATGTGACAAAAAAATTTTGATTTATTAGATAGGATATATATGAAATATTCAGAATCATTTTTGGAATAAAAGAATTACATAAAAAATTGCATATAAAGCGTAATAGTCATCTCCAAACTTCAAACGAAAATAAATAGTGGATGAAACATGAAAGTTTCTTTAGTTTTTTAAATTGTTTAAATAAGTAATAATTGTCCTTTCTCTTTTGACCAAAAAGCATCTTTGTTTTCTCCACTATATTCCAAAGGTCTTCCAAACAAGCACATCACGTTCACACATCTTTTTTCTTTCTGCTCTTGCTCTTGATAGTAAGTCAACTCATCTCATATTCTTATCCAAGTCTGTTTGCAATCGTATCCCAGAAACTCTTTCCAAAGATTTGATTTTTATAAAATCCTTCAAGCATACCTCAATGGCATATTCTTCAACTTCATCCATTCGCAACAACTTTAAGTATGATGTGTTTTTGAGTTTTAGGGGTGAAGACACTCGTTCCAACTTTGTGGATCATCTTTATTACGCTCTTCAGCAGAAAAACATTCACACATACAAGGACGATGAGGGAATCAAGAAAGGGAAAAGGATCAGTGATGAGCTCATCAGATCGATTGAAGAGTCTAGATTTTACATCATTATTTTCTCCAAGAACTATGCCTCTTCTTCTTGGTGCTTAGATGAGCTTGTGAAGATAATGGAATGTCACGGGACTACAGAGCATACTGCATACCCTGTCTTCTATGATGTGGAGCCATCCGAGGTCCGCAGACAAAGTGGAAAAGTTGAAGAAGCCTTTGCCAAGCACAAAATGGAAGAGGCTGCTGGGAAATGGAGGGAGGCTCTTAAAGAAGCAGCTAATCTTGCTGGGTGGGAGTTAAAGAACACTGTTGATGGGTAATTCTTTCATCAGATCTATATATGTAATATTCTTGTAATTTTGTTTCTTTCTGATCTACTTTTACACTGAATTTAAGAAGCTCGTACATAGGATCTTACGTTGGATTGTCAAATTTAAACTACAATTCTCAGTTTTTTGGAATAAATAAACATCAATTTAATATGATTATAGGACTATGTTATTACTTCATATACATTTGCTACAGATCTGAAAGTAGTCGGGCATGTTGGATTTTGAGTATGCTAATTGAATCTGCTTTGATATACAGGCATGAAGCAAAATTCATCCAAAAAATAGTTGAAGAGCTTTCACTAGAGTTACGATCCATTAGTTTCACAATTGATGAAAAATTAGTGGGAATGGAGACTCGGATCAAAGATGTTGTATCATCTTTAGGAACTGGTTTTGATGATGTTCGCATGATTGGGATCAAGGGGATGGGAGGTGGTGGGAAGACGACTTTGGCAAGAGCTGTTTTTGATCAAATATCCTTTCAGTTCAAAGGTAAAAGCTTCGTGGAGAATGTGAGGGAAGTTTCAAATGCTTCTTTGTCCGGTTTGAAGTCTTTGCAAAAACAAGTCCTTCGGGACGTCTTAAATGATAAAGGCATCAGAGTAAGCAGTATTTATGATGGGAAACACATGATCAAGAGGATGGTGCATGATAAAAGGGTTCTTGTTGTTCTAGATGATGTGGATAATGTCGACCAACTTGAGGCATTGGCAGGCGATCCTAATTGGTTTAAGCCGGGAAGTAGAATTATCATCACAACAAGAGATGAGCAAGTGCTGGTTTCACACAATGTGCAGTTTATACACGACATCAATCTGTTATCGGATAAAGAAGCAGTTTGCCTCTTCAGTAGGTATGCATTTGGTAGAGATATTCCAATTCAAGGGTATGAGAAGCTAACAAGAGAAGTTGTACGTTATGCATCTGGTCTTCCATTAACACTTAGAGTTTTGGGTTCGTTTCTCTGTGGTAGAAATGAGCTTGAATGGATAGATGCCGTAGAAAGACTTCAAACGATTCCATTAACAGAAACTCTGAAAAAATTAGAATTAAGCTATATCGGTCTAGAGGAGGATTACAAGGAAATTTTCCTAGATGTTGCATGCATCTTGAAAGGTCGGACGAAGGTGGTAACAATCAAAGTGCTTGAAAGCTGTGGATTCCATGCTAGAAATGGTTTAAGAGTTCTTGAACAAAAATCTCTCATAACTATTTCTAATTATAATTTACGTGTGGGCATGCACGACCATATTGAAGAAATGGGCAGGAATATTGTTCGCCGCGCGTATCCGGATAAGCCTTATAAGCATAGCCGATTGTGGATTAGTGATGAAATCGAAGATATATTGGCTAAGGATTTGGTAAGGATCAAGTTTATTTGTAAGTTGGAAAAGGTTAACACGATAATTTATTATTTATTTATTTATTTATTTTTGCTACACAAGTTTCATGGTGACTTCATTTGGATTACAGGGTACCAAAGCAACAAGATGTATAAAATTCTACAATGGGAAGCTCAATCCGCACATGATTATAAAAGGTCTTAGAAAGATGAAGGAACTTAGATTTCTTTCAATGGATATGGGAGATCATTTGCAGTGTTGGGAATTTAATATAATGATCAGCCCAGAGATTCCAAATGCTTTACGATATCTGGATTTGAAGCATTACCCTTTTAGTTCTTTACCCAAAACATTTCAAGCAGATAATCTTATTGCACTTGAGATGGTTGACTGCAAAATTTTACAACTTTGGGAAGGGGGAGAAAGAAAGGTAGAGTTATTGTGGATTCATTGTTTTACATGATACATTATAATGTTATACATCTATTGTTTTGTTATTAAATAGATATTAATTATCTTGTTTTTTGCTTATATATGCTAGGTTCTTAACAAGCTCAAATACCTTGACCTCAGTGGTTCCATGTTGAGTACCCTTGACCTTGGGCTTACTCCAAATCTCGAGACACTGACTCTTGGAGGATGTTCCAACCTGGTAGAACTTCATGTTCCCATTGGTTGTTTAAAGCTCATGTCTATTGACATCAGTATGTCAAGGTTGAGGACCCTTGCCCTTGGGCATGCTCGGAATCTTAAGACGTTATTACTTGACAAATGCTTCGATTTGATAAAACTTCACATGCCGGGTAGATGTTTAAATCTCGAAGAACTACTACTCTCGAGGTCAAAGTTGAGGACCCTTGACATTGGGCTGACTCCGAATCTCAAGTATTTGCATCTTAAAAATTGTTATTATTTAGAAGAACTTCACACGACCAATGTATGTGAAAAGCTCATTAATCTCGAAATTAGTTATTCAAAGTTGAGAACCCTTGACCTTGGGTTGACTCCAAATCTAGAGAGGTTAGATCTTAAAGCATGTTCTAATTTAGTAGAACTTCACACTCCCATTGGATGTCTACAAAAGCTTATCTACTTAGACGTAAGTGGTTGTTTGAGATTTAGAGATTTTTTGTTTAACCTAAAGGGTTATGCTTCTTGTAGTGTGGAGGAATCACTTGAGGTTGTTCCTTTAGCTGAGTTACATGTGGTTGCAAAGTCCCTAGAACGCTGCCCACTTCACCCCGACAATGACTTGCCAAAGTTTCGCTTTACTTATTTCTATAAGGAAGATCGCCACTCATTTACTAGAAATCTTGAGAAGCTTATTTCTATAGGTATGTGTGCTTGCACAAACCTTGAGACGTTTTCAGGAAGCATTTGTGGGTTACAACGTTTAAGGAAGCTTAAACTAGAAGGCAGTATTCAAGAGGCGCCTGAGGACCTCGGCCAGTTAGAATGTCTTGAGGAGCTGATTTTCTTGTCTACAAAGATTAACCATCTTCCAGAGAGCATGTGTATGCTGAAGCATCTTAAATCTCTGAAACTTATATCATGTTGGTTTCTTGAGAAGTTACCCGAGGATCTTGGTGGATTAGAACGTCTAGAGGAGCTAACTTTGTTTTGTACATTGATTAAAGATCTTCCAGATAGCATTTGTATGTTGAAACATCTGAAATCTCTCGAACTGTTCTCTTGTTCGTTGCTGGAGAAGTTACCCGAGGAGTTTGGCCGATTAAAACTGCTGGAAAAGCTAGAGTTGTCGCATGCAAAGATTAAACATCTTCCAGATAGCATTTGTATGTTGCAACAGATGAAACATATCGACCTTCATAATTGTTCGTTGCTTGAGAAGTTACCTGAGGATCTTGGGCGATTAGAATGTTTACAGAAGCTAATCATAATAAACTGTAAGTTATTACAGAATATCCCGATAAGCATCTGTAGGATGAAATGTCTAAAATATTTCCATCTCCGCTATTGTATTGGGATTGAGAAATTGCCTGAGGAACTTGGAAGTTTAGATTGCTTAAAAGAGTTAGATATAGAAGGTACAATCATAAGCCATCTTCCACAGAGTATTCTTTTGTTGAAAGGTCTCCGTATTATTGGGTCGAGAGAGCTTCTTCAGTCATCTGGTTTTACATCAGAGATACGAATCCAAGAACACGAAACGTCGTGTTACGTAGTGGTGGGATGATTTTGAGAAGCTCAAAAGACCTGGAAAAGCCAGTTCACAAAGAACTATTGTAACAGGTACTTTCTCTGTTTTCTAGTGGTCATGCATCTTACTTTGATTTCAATGGACATTGATCTGACAATAAGTAAATCATAAGCTAAAAATAAACAAATTATATTTATATACAATAAAGGGTACTATACATACGAGAAGAATCCTTGATATAGTTCTAAACATGGTTTCATTGACTATTCATTCATCCTTTGTGTTAAGATTGGAGCCTTATCCGATCTGAAAAACTGGCCAGACTTCACAGATCCAACGGGTGAAATTTCATTTTCGTGCACTGTCAGTGTTAAATTATGTGTATAATCCTGATATGCAAAAACGTTAAACCGTTAGAGATAAATGCAAGAAATAGCTATGTACCTTTTAATTTTTATTCACCACTCCCTTTTTCTTATTGCAGGTGCCAGGTTGTTATCATTTATTTGGCAATGATCCTGATGCCATTGTTACCGGATAATCTGAAGTCCAAGTTAAGCTACAATAGATCATCCACATTGTTTTGAAATGGCTTCTATTGAATCAAATGACATTCTAATTTAGTTTGCAAATCATTTCAAAGCATAATTACATGAGCATTTGTGACTAAAGTGTGATGATCCAATCATTTGAACAACAAAAAAGTGAATCAAGTTCCAAAAAAGTTATATATGCTTCAAAATCTTCCCAATGCTTTGTTAAACTTAGATGGAATCCACAATTGTTATAGCTTCGAAGCGCTTCCAAAAAACACTAAAAAAAAATAGCCATGAATGAGAAGAATGAGAGTATACTAGTGATATACTAACTAAAACTCATTAGAAGTATCATCTAAACATTCTTAATGGCATAATTTTTAGATTTGTGGTCACCAAAACCAAGATCGAAATTATAAATAAGATGAAGGGAGATTATACCTTTCTTAAGCTGTAATCAATTCCTAGCAATAATACTTCCATGTGCAATTCTAGATCCAACCTCAAGCATTGAAATCGCCCTCTTCTTCCTTTCCCTTTCTTCAAATTCGTTTTCCATTCAAATGGGTAAAGACGAGAAGGTGTTATGACTAGCTTTTCAACATTTTACGACTAACTAACACCTAGTTCTCAAGTTGAAGCAGAGAAAAGAAAAGAAGAGAAAAGAAAGTAAGGAGAGAAAATTGGGAATTTAGGCAACGTTGCCCTTCATTACCCATATAGCATTTACGTTCCATCCTTATTCCTCAATCGGCCGTTGAAACGAGACCATCCACATCGCATTCCTCAGCCTCCTCTTCCCCCGCTCAGACACTCCGTCCGCCGACGCCGATGCCGTCGGATTCCTCTACCCGCGCTTAGGCACTCGGAAGTCTCTTTAAAACTTTCAAACTAACCTTCCAACTAAGGTTTCTTACAAAATGGTCCTCACAAGGTTAGACGGGTTAACTTTTAACCAAACACTAGGTTTTGTTTAATTTACCAATTTAGCGTTGATTTTACATTTTAAACAAATTAACTAATTTTGAATTTATTTACATAGTTTAGTTTCCAAACTAATAAATATAATCTACCTCTTCTACTAAATAAATCTTAAGTTTGCCACATGACATTTTTGTAGCATTTTTATGTGCTATGTACTCTTCTAAGGCTGTTTTTTTTCCCTTCTCGTTCTTATTAATTGCATCCAATAATTTTTGTTACAATTTTAATTAACCTTCAAAATTTGAAAAAAAATCAAAAATCTAATCCTAATCCTAATTTTGAATTCTTTGTTTGATATTCCGAAATCAATTCACCGTTTGATATAAATCGTATACCAAATTAGAATTCAAATTCATTCCTATCTAATTAAACATTCTAAATTTAAATAGCCAAAAATTATGTTTTATCCCATAAATTAAAGATAAATAATTATCATTTCTTTTTTCCTAAACACCATCTGGTATACATTGCACGAGATGATTTGTGGTTGAGCTGGACCACGACCACGATCGTGCACACCATCCCGACCGGTCGTGGTCGATCGTGGTCGTGTTCCTTCCTGTTGTAGACGACAAATGTAAACGGCCAATGAAAATGTTTCCTCCTTCTTGATCGTTCAACGGTCAATTTTTTAAGTTTTTTTTTTTTTTTTAAAAACTCAATATCTATATAAATCTAATAAAAACCTCACCTTTCAACAAATTTTACTCTCATTTTATAAACCAAAAAACACATGGAGGATTTGGAATTGTTAATTTTTTTTACTCGGATGATGACGGGGAATTCATCTCGACTTTCTTTAATGTTGTGCAACACATTCACGATGAAGAAAGTCTTTGTTGCTCGTACAAGGGCGGTCGTCAATCGTGATCGTCAAGCCACACACGACTTATTGATAAGTGATTACTTCGCCGATAATTGTCTTTACAATGATGACTTGTTCAAACTTCGTTTCCGTCTAAATAAGGCTATATTTTTACGTATTAGTAACGCTTTAGAAGCCCGTTATGATTTTTTCAAACAAAACCCCTATGCTAGAGGAAGAATGGGTTTTAGTATTATACAAAAGTGTGCCGTTGCGCTTAGGTATTTGGGATACGGTATAGCATTTGATGCATCCGACGAATACTTTAAAGTATCCGAGAGGACTGCAATTGATCGTGTAGATTGGTTTTGCACGTGTGTGTATGAGGTTTTTCATCATGAATATCTATGTAAACCTACTCCACGTGATATTGAGAGATTATAATCGGCTCATGAAGAGAGCCATAATATGGGTATGCTTGGTAATCTAGATTCTACGCATGTGGCTTGGGAAAAATATCCAAATCCATGGCGTGGTCAATTCACTCGAGGAGATATAGAGGAACTAAGTATAATCCTAGAAGCTGTCGCATCTCAGGATTTATGGATATGACATTCTTTTTTTGGAGTCGCGGGTTCTAACAACGACATTAACATTCTTGGCAGTCTCCATTTTTCAACGATTTTGGACCGGTAAAGCACCTAATATGATGTTCATGGTAAACGGACATTCGTACAAATACAGTAACTACCTTTGTGATAGGATATATCCGAATTATTCTACACTTATGAAGGCATATTCGGTTCCTCAAAGTGAAAAGGCAAAGTTGTTCACAAAGAGACAAGAATCAACGATGAAGGACATCGAGAGGGCATTTTGGAGTCCTTAAGCAGACGTGGCATGTAGTGAAATATGCTACACGACTTTGGGATAAGGAAAAAATTAAAAATATAGTCCTAAAATGTATTATAATGTGTAACACCCATAAAATTTGAGCCAAATTAAAACATTTTAATTCATTCAAAAACCATTACGTTCATACATCTTGTTTTCAAAATAGTTTAAACATCAGAGTATCCCCCAAAACCATATCACATAAATCATAAAACATGAGGAGCGGTACGATCACGCCTTCGCCTTGCCACGATCTCCTGAAGTACCTGAAACAATACACTGAACTGTAAGCCCGAAAGCTTAGTGAGTTACCCCCAAAATACCAACCACACATAAACATACTCATAACATATCACAAATAGAACAGCCATGCACATCGGGTCTACTGTGTGACTGGTCCGCCCGCACCGGGCCTTCAGTCTACCTGGTCCACCCTCCGAATCTAGCCATGTACATCGAGTCTACAATGTGATTAGTCCGCCTGCACCGGGCCTTCAATCCACCTGGTCCACTCTCTGAGTCTACAGTATGACTGGTCCGCCCACACCGGGCCTTCAGTCGGCCTGGTCCACTCTCCGAGCCTCGGCACGTCTGGTCCGCTCTCTTGGGGCCTTCAGCCTATCCGGACCGCTCGTTGGGCCTTCAGAATATCCGGTCCGCCCTAGGTATGTTGGCCTACAGCACAAAGCAGGACCCGCCTCAACCCAACCCCCGTCAAACAACCATGTGCACATAAAACAATTAATCACATAACAACTCCTTAACCAGACAAAACAGTCTAACAGATCACATAGCATATCAACATCCTAACCAGGATTCCGACCTAACCAGTCACTAGCATAACATTACCCTATATACCGGGTACCGACCTTAACCAGGTCACTAACATAACACCATCCTAAATACCAGGATGCAGATCTAGCAAAGCAATAACATAACAAACAATACCCGGATTTCCATCCGATAAAGGGCCGGTCTTGGTGCCGTAGACCCTGTCGATATAGTGAGGATAACTCACCTGCAATTGGCGACTGAAGAGATAAGACCAAGCTGCTCCGACCACCGACACGAACTTCACCACAAAACACTACCAAAGAACCAATTCCATAAATACCAAAATTACCAAAATACCCTTGGAAGTCAAACTGGTCAACTCTTGGTCAAAGTCAAAGTCCTCAGTCAAAGTCAACCTTCCTGGTTGACTCTACTCGCCGAGTCAACCCGTCGACTCGTCGAGTTCTTATACTCAGAAAACTCCCATAACACGACTCAACTCGCCGAGTCGCCCCAAGACTCGTCGAGTTCAACGATCTTGGAATTCCATCCTGTCCAACTCACTGAGTTGCCAACCGACTCACTAATCCAAAGCTTTAACCAAAAGAGGTTGGTTTCTACGACCAGACTCGCCGAGTCCAAGAACAGACTCGCCGAGTCCAAGGCAATCTTCAACAGACTCGCCGAGTTGTTCTTCCAACTCGCCGAGTCCATGCACATGTTCATACAACTCGTCGAGTACACCCATGTGACTCGCCGAGTCTCTCCAGTTCTCAATCCATATAGTGGTTTTTCGAGCCATGCAGGGGCTCCAATCCATAGATCCACTCTTCTACAGTCTAACCCTCACATAAAGTTGCAAACTTTACATGAAACCAAGGAGATATAGGCCCAAAACACACTAGGGCTAGGGTTAAGGACTAGGGGGCTTCACCAACAACTCTTAAACAGAAGCTTTATGACATTTTGGACCATCACAAGCCTAGATCTGGAGTAGCAACCTCAGATCTAAACTCCAAACCCGAAATAGATCTCAAACAAGCTAAGGAACTCCAAATCAACCACCAAGGATGAACCAAAAAGGAAATAGCTTAAGATAATGGCTCCTTACCTCTGAGATGTGCCCAAACTAATGTAGATCCCAGGTCTACACAAGCCCCTTGATGCTAGCCTCTAATTCCTCAAGCTCCTTACACCAAATTCCTCTTCCAAGCTCCAATTTCCTCAACAATGAAGTCTCACACGAAAATTAGGGTTTTCTGGAACTCTCAGGGGGAATAGGAGGCTGGGAGAAGGACATAAAGTCCTTTAAATAGGGTGCAACCCTCGGGATTAGGGTTTTCTCATTCCAGCACCAACTCGTCGAGTACATGTTCCGACTCGGCGAGTTTGCCACTTAACCCGCGATCAAATCCCGCTCCGACTCGACGAGTAGCATACCTACTCGTCGAGTAGCTTCCTTAATTTACACTTAGCACCCTTCAACTTCTTGCTTCCGAACTTGGGATGTTACAATTCTTCACCACTTAAATTAGGCTTCGTCCTCAAAGCCTGCGGCAACACAAACTTCCGGATGATACTCCCACAATGCATC